CTTATATAGTTTATATTTATGACGTCATGACGTCACACATAACAACCACGGAGGAAGTGCCGCATCTGAAAAGAAAATTTGCAAGTTTATCAGGAGATTTCAAGAATGTTATGTTAAATGCAGACGATAAGAATACAAGAATGCTAATGCAACAAGCTATGAAGTTATTAAAACAAATTGATATTTTCAATAACATGTTTAAGTTCTTGCAAAATACAATTGAAATATACACAGAAAGAACATTGAACGTCATTTTCCTAATCCATTATTTACATATGTAATATATAAATTAGGGACTTTTACTCAGTCAATACATTATATATGGGCCTGTTAGATTATATTGACACTCGGACTTCATCCTGGGTCCATATAATCTGAACAGGTTCATATATAATGTATTGACCTCATCAAAAGTCCATAAATGATAAACATACTTTAACAAAGTCTTTGTCTACAAATATATCATCATGTTTGAGGATTATGTACCCATGTGTTGATTCAATACTAAACATATGGAATTTTTATAGAAAATCCACAACGTTTTCCCTTGTACTCTAATATTTGGCAATTTGGTACTTGATAGATAGAGGATTATTGCATGCAGTGCTAGCAATGATTTCCTTAAAATAAGTTTGAAAATTTAGATGTAAGTTGAAAATGAACTGAGAAAGCCATGTCTAAAAAATAAAAAGATCAGCAGACAAAGTCACAAACAACGTACAGTACACAACACATATTACACAGACAACATAAGACTTCAAGTGTAATTTTACTCTTTGTCAGTGGGTTGCTGTCTCATCCCTGGATAACCCACATCTCCTTTTATTCATATATCAATTTAATTAGTGCAATTCCATAACAACCAAGATTATCTTACTAAATGATTTAGCACTGAATTATAATAAACATTGACAAGACAAAATCTGAACCCATTATTTGAGGTAGTATTTGGCCAAATCATCCCTAATTATGACTGAATCCTATAACTAAAATGATATTTTATTCATACAAACTTCTAAATAATCTTGTTTAAGATGCCACAGCTCAATAACTACTGGTCTCAAATGTTCAAGTCTTCCCGATGCTGTTGGAGACATGAGACGTAGGTTTTTTGCACCTTCAAATCTGACTTTGGTCAGTTGGTCACCAGATGTTATAACTCCAAATTTATCTAATATTTCAACTGTTCCTGAAAAAAAATATAGAACAACTGTACATTTTTGTTTTTCGTTTAATTTTTAGTACATAAATCAGGCCAGAAGTTTTCTAGTTTGATATGTTTTACATAATTTTGTCATTTTGCTGCCTTTTACAGCTGACTATGTGGTCTGGGCTTTTTCATTGTTGAAGGTCATACGATAAATTATATTGCTTAATTTCTGTTTCTCTAATTTGTGTGCTTTTTTCACATTTCCTGAGTGGTGTGAGAAAAATATTTCTCACACTAGTGAAATATCTATTCTCAGCAAATGATTGGTCGAAATTTAAATATGACGTTTAATTTTCTTAATTTCTTCTGAATTTCCTATTGTGACGTCATGAAAAAAGATGTCCATGCCTGATGATGTCACATATAAATACAACACAACTTTCTGAAAATGTTTGAAAAGGAAGGTTAACATCATTAGAGAAACAGATTCCACCACTATAACTCTTGTATTAAGATATTTCTACACTCTCAAGAGTTGAATTTAACTGTCTCAAGTGGAGAAGTATTGTAACAAACTAGTTGCAGTTATGGAATCTATATGTCATTTGGTTTCTTGTGAAAAGTTGTCGTGTTGGAAATCACACCACATGATGTCATCTTCTATTTTATAATGTCTCAATATATAATTTAACCTATATTTGTACAGAATGAGGATTTTATCACAATTTCAAGGTTTCATGTTTTGAGCTGAAAACAAATCAAAATGTGTAAAAACTTGTTAATATTGCAACAATTTCAATTTTGAAAACGAACAACTTAAACATTTAGGGAATATGTGGTTTTTCAACTATTCACTTCATCAAAATAAAAAAAGTTTTTTTACAGTCAATGATAAACAAAGTTAGTTCATCCAATTAATTATTTTGTGTGATAAATTTATCATTTTCACAGTATACAGAAGTCAGTGATATGAAAATAGTCTATGAGACGTGGAGAGTTGTCTCATTGGCAATCATACCACATCTTCTTTTTTATATGTATGTTATATTAACACTAACAGTGATTAAATGACATAATGTTTGTGTCCAGAAAAAGATCATTATGACTGACAGCAACAAACCATGGGATTCCTGAAATGTTTTTTGAAGCAATTTCTCATATGAATCCATGACATCAAGAATGTCTTCATATTTAGCCTCATTCTTATGTTGGATGGGTAACTGGAAAACTTGGCTCTTTTGGGACATCCCAGCACTATAACTATGGCTCATGTGTACTGGTACCACTGTTGTCATCCATTTGAACTGATCCATTGAACTCAAAATTCTTGCAATCTGAAATCAATTAGCTTTCTCCTCAACTTTTTACCACATGTAAAAACTTCAACATTCATTCTAGTGTAAATAATATTAGATAAGTTTTACAAGATAAACAAGAAATTCATTATACTTTTAATACAGTCTATTCACTAATCAATGAAGAATTAACTTATATTAAATATTAATGTCAGTCAGTCAAGAGTTTGTGGTATACAATGATAGAACCAAAATTTCCAAACAATATTTCAAATTTTCATAACTTGTAAAGAAATCCAGTTTTATTAAAAAAGTTTTTTGTCTCCTCATTTCTTCAAAAGTTTAATAAGTCATTTTCTTCAAGTTGTTAAACATAATTACAAAGGCTCACTGAGACCAAACACACAAAATGTAAATGAACAGTGCTTTTTATGCTGTTCTTCATCTCAAAGTCACAGTGAACCTGCTTCACAGATTATTTAACATTTTTCTATTTCACAAGTTGCAAGCTCTAAGCAAAGCTGAGTTGTTTTCATGCAATCTTCAAGTATAAACTAAAATACCATAGAATTTAACCTTTTGAAAATTTGTATAGGAAATATTCAGCTTTTTAGATTATCAATACATAAAATATATAGGAAATTATAAAATGATTTGTTATAATATTCCAAAAGGTTAATTTCTATTAATAACGGCTAAATGTTATAAGTAGCATTGTACTTTTTCTGGTCTCCCGTTGGGATCGATCCAACTTACACTTATAAGTGTATTCTCCTGATAAAGACTCTGTTTGTACAATTATCATGCTAGTGCTAAAGCTTGGTAAGGCAATATATAAATGCAGTGCAAGTGTTAAGCAGCAATTATAAGCTAGCTGAATTCTACTATTTCTAAAAAACTGACTAAACTAATGTAAATTCAGATAATGATGGTGTTATTTTAACTTAAAATTAAAAATTGAAACAAACATTCCAGTTTTGTATGTAATATTCTTTTGCGTCCACATTTAAGAATTACAGAAATAAATTTTCTATTAAGGTAATTAATTTAAAACTCTGAATTTACATATAATTTGAAAGAGCAGGAAGGCATGCATGCTTTTATATACTTACCATTTTAAACTGATTGTCAATGAGATAAAAGAAGGAATCCAATAAAGTTGTGTATAAATAAAGTTTTTTTTCTAAAATTAAAGAAGGATTAACTTTACAAAACAATTTCAACATTATTTATCAATTACTTAATATTCATCCACTTAAAATATTACCAGTATTGAATATGAATATTTCATGTTGTCAATTTCTGCCTCTGTTAGTTTTAAAACATCTCCATTAACTGCAGGAACAGCAGGGGTTCTGTTGTCCATATCTACAGATGATAACCTGCTAGTTAAGGCATTTGAGGCAAATAAATGCATATCTGTATTTCCTTTATCTATTGATACACAACGACTTTTAATGTATATGTCCAGATTGTCGCCGGTAATTTTTAGCAGTGGCTTTTCCTTCAAATAATCACACAGAGCTCTATGGCTGATTTCTCCGGCCTCTTTTATCAATCTCTGCTTACTGGTTGGTGACAATGTAACACCTACTCTGTTCAATCTAGTAATCAGCTATGAAACAAAAATATAATTTACATATTTCATTGAAATGATATAACAGTGTTATGGGCTGTCCCATAAAAGTAATAAATTAATCAAACACATTTTGGATGGAAGGCACTATTATCAAACCTTCTATGAATAAAAAAATCATTATTTATATTAATAAATTGTTCAATTTATGTTTCTACAATAACTATAATGATTTAAGTGTGCATAGAAATACCTTCCGACCCATGTATAAATAGTTCTGTACTTTTTGCTGCTAATTATTTTTAAGTAAATTGCTTTTACTTGTTGTCAATTGTTATATTTGAACAAAAAGTAGGAAAGTATTCTGACTTTTTCAGTTATATAGATATAAGTAGATGTGGTATGAGTGCCAATGAGACAACTCTCCATCCAAGTCAAAATTTATAAAAGTAAACCATTATAGGTCACAGTACGGTCTTCAACACGGAGCCTTGGCTCACACCGAACAGTAAGCTATAAAGGGCCCCCAAAATTACTAGTGTAAAACCATATGTATATGTATATGTATTTAAGTAAATATAAAATTTACCTATAAATTTTTCAAAATAAAAAATTAACTGAGTATCTAAACATTTCTTTTTTTAATGAATACCATATCTTCTGCTCGTCCCCTTATACAAATCGCTGTCATCATCCGTTGGACTGCACTCATTTCTGCATTTCTTGCAAACATAAGAATGCTGTATACTATAGCCAATGATCCAGTTATTCGACTTTTTTGCCCTTGTAGATGTTTTTCATCAAATGCAGACAGCATTATTTCCAAAAAAAATGGTGTCCTATATCATACAATAATTAAAACATGTACATGATTATATTGATAAGTGATTACATTATTGAACATTGTTAATTTAAAACAGTTACTATGATTATATTCTAAAAAATTCTAGAAACACAAATTGTGTCCTACTGAATTCAATATAGTAATCTCCCCTTGGTGATGGAAGGTTTTTTTTCTGAAAAATTTCAACACTTACAGCACTTCATTTTTTTATAGTATAATCGAAAAATTTGAAGATTGAAATTTTTAAATTGATACTTGGAAAAATGTTTTTAAACAAAAAAGTATTTTTCCAACATGCTCAATAGGAATGCTCAGAACAGGATACCTGGTATATCGTAATTCATATTGATACCTGTTTTTCATTTCCTCTATAATGGAATCGCACAATTTACTTGAATCTTCGGATAAATGCTCCATTTTCTTCCTGGTTAGTAGCAGACTTTGTTCTCCCATTCTTTTAGTGCTTACATTTTTAATTTCCTGGTTTATTAATGATCTTGCTCTTTGCATTATAAAAACGTCACTTACTCTTATATCATCTAAAATTTAATCATTGCAAATAAAAGCATTACAATTCCTTTCCAAATCTTGCATTGTCTCAATTAATGTACCTCTTTTTTGTGTTAATTACCAATAGTCTTTATTTCATTTAGTATGAGAAAGTCAATAGTGAATAAATATCATGCAGGCAGTTTAATTTTGTAAATGTAGTTTTGACATAATATTTGAAGTACAACATGAACATTTCTTAAGCATAAAAATTTGTTGACAAAAAAGTATTCAAAAAAATCCTGTAAATGTAAAATGTTCTAAATTCATATGCTATCCACTAGGTTAATAAGTGTCCAAATACCTGGTTCTGGCTGGTTTTTGTCATTTATTCTGATGTTTTCAACAAAAGAGTCCAATACACTTTCTTGAAATAGTTCCCTACAAGAGGGGGGTTTGGACCTGCTGTAGGCATGTTCTTCTCTTTTACTAGTTAAATTAAACCAAAATAAAGTCTATAAAAAATATAAACATGAGAAATTGAAATTTTTTTAAAAACTTTAGAGCTATTTTCCTAACTCATGTAGTTCAAAGGTTTGGCTTGCTTTGTTTGAATAACTGTTTCCTCGAACATTATCAATAAGTTTTACAATTGCAATCAGTAGATCGTTTGGGCTTTAGTTTGTATAATGCCATAGGATGCTTGTGCAAAAATTTATACAAACAAATTAGCCAGCAAGCAAACCAAACCTTTAAACTACATGCATTAGGAAAATAGCTCTAATAGAAATGAAACCTTTTCATTCTTGGAAGATTTATGAAACCATTCTGATTTGAACAAAGAACTTTACTGAAACTGTAAAAAAAAAAATTTTAATTATTTGTTATGTTTAGCCTGTTTAGAGGACATGTTTTTCAACATACAATCAACATTCTTATGGAAAATATTTCGTCCTTCTGATTACTGATTTTTTCTTGTAAGAAAAATTGGATGGAGGAGCTGACTGTCATCAGATTTTTACTTCTATTAGCAACACATCAGTTACCATAGATTTCAGTTGCTGCCAGGATTTCTGTTGCTGGATGTTTGGTTTTCAGTGTAATGTTTTACTTTAAATGGTTGTCTTTTTCTCGTTCTATTTTCGCTAAAGTGCGTTTTTTTTTTTTAACATTTGAATTATTATTCTACTCTCTCTCTTTATACTTCAGTTAACATCCCCTTTTTGAACAAATCATGCTAGATGAGACTATAATTTCAAATTCCGTAACTATAGGTTATAAACTCACAAGATTAGCAGTATCAAATGTAACAGGTAACTTACTCATTTGCATCGATACAAGCAGATGATCTTCTTATAATTGGTGTCTTGCTATAACCATGTTCTCTGTTGATTAATAAGTAGATTTTATTTATGGTGACGTCACACTTGAAAATAATAGTCAACAAATAAAAAAAATCAGAAAAATTTATCTTTGAAATAAGGCTCGACATTCCTTGAAATTACAAGAAGAGACAAAAAGCATTTAAGCATATGTTTAACTTTATAACAGAAAGTAGCATATCCACACATTTATAGTTGTATTTTAAGCATATTTAAGATACACTAAATAGGGCAACCATTTTTTAGTAATTAAGGCCAAATCATTATTATAGAAAATTAGGTTTCATAAATGGTATAAATAATTTGCAGTGAACATGGTTCTACATGTAGAAAATGCATTAATTTTGTTGTACTGTTTAGAAAAATCAAGCAGTAACAAGTCATAATTTTGTAAATATATCTTATTTTATAAAAGCATACAAGATCATAATTGGTTAAATGCAAAAAATTTTCTGATAAATCAAAACATCCAGAAAAGTTGCTTGCAAATCTATGGATAAAAAATTACTTACTCGCTTAACCCTACAGTCTTTTTAACATTGACATTTCCATGATGTACAATGCTTGCATCTAAACTGAAAATATACATATAAAGTAAAGATTTTTCTTTTAATTGTTAAACATAATTTATCAAAAAGAAAAACCAGTCTCATTGCAAGCTCAAATATCTGCCCGTCTCTTCTCTATACATATGTATATGGTTTGTTGAGAATAAAGATATACAGCAAGGCAATAATAATAATCCATCTAGAGTATGCAATTGCAAGGTTGTTTATATTGTAAATCCCTGCTGTATTTTAATTGAAATGCCATAACAACATAACTGTCTGTTGCTATTTGCATTTCCTAATACAATGTAACAACTTTAAGAGTAACACCATATGGCAGTTTGATTATCCTGGTATAATCTGTAATATTTTTTGTGTAAATTAACTAAATATTTTTCTTATGTACTTTTAGGACTCCTTTCGTTTTAGGAATGCTAAACTTTTTCAAACTTTATCTTCCTCAAGACAAAAATCTACAAAAAAATTACTGACTAAATACCAAAGTATCATCTTCATTATTACCAGAGACTGGTACTTCATCTGTTAATGATGTTGATGTGGATCTGAAAAAAATGAAGCCTTTCTAAACAACCTATTCTAAAAAGAAAAACTTGTTCTTCAGTCATATTGAGTATAAAAAAATAACAAGGTGTTTCTTAAATTTCAATTTATTTTATCCTCAATCAAATATTCACTCTAAATTTAAGTACAGATGTTTTATATTGAAGATCACCGTAACTGTTAGAATAGATCAGTTCTTTTTGTATTATAACTATTTGTTAGCTGTTTTTTGTTTCCTGCCAAATTATGATGTTGCAAATCCCTTCCATATGAATTTTGTAATTGCTTATTATGCTGTTACACCAGTCCCAGATTACGTGAGCATTTGCCAAATTCTCCATGTGCCAGTGCCAAAGTCCAGTTATTTAAAGTTAGCAGTTGTCATTTGCTGTTTGTCATACTAACATTGTTAACTGATTTAGCATAAGTAAGTTAGGCTATTGGTTTTCTCTTTTGGGTTTTATTGGTCCATCTTTACCTTACCTTACAATACAGTAGAATAGGATTTTATTCTTTTTTGACATATGTTGCAAATAAATCGAAGTAGTTTGTTTTCTGATGGTGGTTATTTGTCTCACTGGTAATCTCGATAACATAAACTCCTCTTTAATAGATATTTAATTATATTTTATAAAGTAACATGCATGTGTCAATAGTACACAGATGCCCCACTCACAGTATCATTTTCTATGTTCAGTGGACCGTGAAATTGTGGTTAAAACTCTAATTTGGCATTAAAATTAGATAGATCATATCATAGGGAACATGTGTACTAAGTTTCAATTGATTGGACTTAAACTTCCTCAAAAACTACCTTAACCAAAAACTTTAACTTGAAGAGGGACAGACGGATGAAACAATGCACAGACCCAAAACATAATGCCCCTAGGTGGGGCATCAAATTTACAAGAATTATAGAGCTTTTTAAAATGGAACATAGTAATTTTTATTCTCAATGTATTTTTTTTTACCCAATATCGTGGCATACTTCTGGAGAAAAATTGGCCATTCTCTTCTTCTGTGTTTTTCGAGACAAAAAAGTGGAAAAACAATGTTTGCTAGATGAAATAAATCCATAAAAACGAGAAAATGAGGAAAAACAATTTCTACAAACTGAGGCTTCATTCTGAAACAATTCATCAATCAAATCAAAAGTATCTGAACCAAAAACTGATTTTAATTTTGAACTGAAGTCATAATTAGAACATTTCTTTCCATTGAAATTAAATTTAACAGAAATTCCAGAACTTAGGCAAAAACAGCAATCAAATTGGTTTTCCTTTGTTGGTGTGGTATCTGTATTTTCCATTCCTAAAAGAGAAGAGATGAGAAAATTGTATATTTTTTGATAATTAGAATTATCTGATCATTCTAATATAAATGTTGAGCAATAAATAGGTCTCATAACAATTGGAAATAATTAATTAAAATTATATTTTTTTTCTCATTAAAATGTAAGAGAGTTTAGAATAAAAAAAAAAACCAACTGAACTAACACACAAACTGTTATATCAGATTAGATTGGATGATTATATTCAATAGAATTTGTCAATTTTATCTCATCATATGATATAGAACCAATGAAAAGAACCAAATTCAATAAGATACATTTTACTTATTAAAACTGATAAACATTGTTTACTTTAGAAATAATACAAAATACTAAGAAGTTAGTCCCTGAACTAAAACTTCAGGAATTGTCGTACAAAAAATTAGCAAGCATAATAAAACAATTTGTAAAACTACTAGTTTAATATAAAGGCAAAATATAAAATTCAATCTTTCAAGTTTTTCCAAGTTAATAGAGTGTTTATAAACTGTGTAATACCAGTGACTGATTAATTACTAAATAAAATATCTTGTTTAACCTTAGATTTATAGATAAAGTCCAAGATTTAGCCATTTCAAGGATCGATCATGCTGATAATGTAGCAGTGGCTATTATTTGTACAGAACATTGAAGAGTATGGAATTTAAAAACACGGCAGTAGGATAATTTAGGATATTTCCAAACATATACCTTATTATTTTAAAAGAACATCCTTATTATTTAGAATAATTCATACTTTTGCAAACAGTAAATTTTATAAAATGACTATATAATAGTTATACATGATGAAACTTAAGTGGTGACTACCTACAGAATAAAAACGGATACATTACATAAAACAACCTAAATACCAGCGCATAACAAATACACAGCCGAATTAGCCAAAGCCAGTGCAACGCACAAAGTGACGTCACATATGAATTTAATAAAAACGAGTTCCCAAAAATAAGAAAGAATTTGGATAGAATTCAAGATTAGATTTGTATGACTTATATAACATTTATTAGTGAAAATGACAATACTAATTAATTTCAAATTGTGGTAGTAATTAGATAATTAATTGTATTATCTAGCTTTGTCGGTGTTTCTTCTGAATCAAACTGTAAACCAAATATATCGTGTAAATTTCGTTGCTCCAAACTAAAATCTAATAAATGAACTGTATGATTAATTTTCTTTACCATAACACACGAATACAACAGAAAAACATATAAAGATTTACAACTACAAATGTTACGACATTTGACAAAATCCAATGAGAATAACAAATATAACATCAAAACTAAATACATGAATTTGAAACCAGAGCTTACTTTCGATCCGATTCGTAAACTGCTAGTTGGAGTAATTAATCCCATTGATCTAGATTTTATAAGGGACAACCCCACTCCCGATTCAAAAATCTTTAAAAAAAAATATGATTAAAGATGCAGACACTTCAGTTATTAAAGATATTTCAAACAGTATTCGCCTGCCATGTGTGGTTTGGCCCCTACCCCGTGCCTTTATTAGGCTATCAATACGCTGCACCTTTTCCTGGTGCCCTATCTCCTCCTTGCAAAATTTATCTGTCCCCCTGTTGGGTGGCAAGGAGGTACTAAAATCCATGGCCTCTAGGGCTGCATCGGTGATCCTCATATAGGGTAACTCCTGGAGATCCTCAAACTCCAGGATCCCCTTATCCTCCCTCAATTCCCAGATTTTGGCTGCAATTTTTGTCCCAACCCCCGGAATGGATAACAATTCCTCAAAAGTAGCAGAGTTTAATTGTACTCTAGCCATGGTCAGTCTTGGAATACAACTAAAGAATGAACTATTTAATTTTAAATTTGGGCTTGGGCAGGGATGTCTACTTAAAAGGGTTATTTATTTAAACTCGCTTACAAGTACTTTTTATTTGGTATTGGTTTAAAACAACATTTTTTTATAACTGGGGATCAAGCTTATAAGTTGACCCCAGAGGTATGTATGCAAATGGCAAGTAAGTGTGTGTGTACTATTTGGACAATTTGACAGTTTTTCTTCTTCTTTCTTCTGGGAAGATGCTGCTGCACTGCGTCGGTCGACTTAGTGCAATACGCGGCGGGAGTGGATTCGGGGTTTACACAATTTCACAGAACAAATATGGGTTCACACAGTTCCCAACAAGGGCTCCGCAGACGGCCAAGTGTGAAAAATCCCTAAAATTAAAAAATCGTGACTAAAACTCAGCCACAAAAGTTTCCCTTCCCGGTGATTTAACTTTTCCTCCCAAATATACTAACCCAGCAAAGCTGTGGTTAGCGAAAACTTGAAATAGGTGACCTGTCAAGGATCCCCTAAAAACAAAATGGAGGTGTTGTTTGGGCCCCTTTAAAATCGGTATTTCTCGATTTAGAATTCAACTCCCCGAGTGAATTGGTACGAAACCTGCTCGCAGCGCCAATGTAAGCTTTCGACAAACTTACCTTGGCGATAACTTATACTTCTGAACGAGAACTGAATCGGCTGGACTTGTCAGCGTGTGTGTCTGCTTCAGGTTCCAGTTTTCGATTGACAGATCCGGAACGAGGCTCTCCCGTGTTCCGGATCTGTCTCCGCCAGTTGAGCACCACCGACGACCCCGAGGTACTACATTATTGTCAACTACTGTATTAGGAATGTTGCAGTAGGATGTTACAGGTTCGAATTATACGGGTCACATCTGTTCACATTGATGAAGATGGATTGATTGATTGATTGTTGGTTGCTTAACGTCCAGTGGCGAATATTTCATGCATATTCAGGACGAGAACAAGTTCACAATAAATACAATAGGTAGGTTCTGTAATAGATTAAGGGATTACGGACGGAGAAATTTAGACTGCCACGGGAAATGAGGGTATATTGGATAGGGACAGAAATTTAGCCTTGCAACAGGCCACCTACGGACCCCTCAAAGAGTTGTTGCAAGGGTTCTTAACGTGCAAAGAGCGTGGCACTCTCTTCACACGAGGCATCGGATTTAACGTCCCCATTCTGACCGGACGTGGCTGCAAATTTGTACATCCCGCACAGCCAAACGGACGCCCCACTTTAGCACGGGTTTTACTGCCGGTCGGAGGAAGACCAATGGTGACCATACTTCTATTCCCCAGTCACCCTTGGGGGTTGATGAAGATGGAAAACAAGATGGTTTCATGTATATAAATATCTTATTTTAGAACATTTAGATGAATTTGTATTTAAAAGGCTTGAAATTGCTTTCAACCTGAGCATATACATTTAGACGAGAAAACTTATATGGAGGATATCGTTGAAATATATAGTTTGAACTTGTCATCATGTGATACTTTTGTTTTTGTCGATGACATATTTGTTGGCAATACATAATCAGTTTGGTCATCAATCCAATGATCCACTTTCGAGTCCTCTTTCCTCTGTTGTGTCTATATCGGACGTATCCCTCACGTATTCGTTAATAGTTTATCCTGTAGTTAGACTGTAGGACAGCAAGTAATATGTCAGTAAATCACAATTATTTTTTGTACGTCACACAGGTAATGGAAAATAAATTTGTCGTTTACAGTATTAAATAAACTTATTTCTATGTTGTGATGTTAAATTCAGAAAAGGGAGAAGGTTTGGTACCATTTAATGTTTAATCCCGCAGCAAATGTTTGCACCTGTCCTAAGTCAGGAATCTGGT